TATATATATATATATGTACACACACACACAAACTTTATGGTTGTAAGCATTACTTAGCAGATGTTATCAATAAAACAGTCTAAGTCATGTGATTATCATACACGTGACATATCAATTAGAGCAAATTAAAATATATTTTAATTATATTAAATTGAAAATTTTAATTAAATATGAATGTTCAAGAAACAAAATATCACTTCCTTTCAATTTATACATAAAAACCCATAGAAATCCGATAAAAAAAATGTAACTTCATTTAATACATAGTGATTTAAAACATTTAATTAATAACTTTTGCAATCACTCTTATTAACATATTCTATCTTCTCATGGATATTAATAAACAATATTGGACGCAAAAATCAAGCAATTAGAGCACGATATGTAGCAGTTGTGTTTCTAACCAACAAGAAAGATCCAAACCCATGCACTGACTTTTGTCCTTTGTCATTTCCATACAGATCTAGAGAGAGCTCTGGATTGACGCTCACCAATGAGAGAAGAAGAGGGCAGTACATTTGGAAGAAGAACTGGAAAGACTAGTGAGCCCCAGAGAGAGAAACAAATTAAATAGGATATATATGTTGTAGTCTGATGGCTCAGCAGATCCTGGGAGTCCTGTTTATGGAAGTGGATTCCTCTTCAGACCAATAGGCCACTGAGCTCCTGAAATATCCCGAGCCCATCCTCGGCAAGACTCGTAAATTTCCCTTTCTTCAAGACGCATATGTGTGTGTGTGTGCTGTAAACGGAAGCAATGCTAACACACCAAGATTAAATTAAATTAAATTAAATTAAATTTGTCCTTTCTCTTTGGAGTGTTACAAGCTCTTGGTGCATAAAGAAGATCTGTGGATCGCCGGATCGGCTTTCACCGTGGACGAAGCGGAGTCCAGCCCGGGGTCGTCACATGTGGTTGCCGCAAGCCCGCCGGCCGCTCCTTCGTCGAATCTGCCTGCCGCGCCGTTCTCAAGCCCGCCGGCCGTTCCTCACTCAAGCCCTCACTGGATGCAACAAATGCCTCGTTTGTAATGGGTTTTATTGTTTTTGTCTCGCCGTGTCGGGAGACGGCATCACAGTGTGTTAAGGGGCGTAACATTTCCGTCACACGCTTGAGGTATTCGGCCAATCACAACGCACTGGATAGCTGGCCAATCAGAGCACACCTCGCTTTTCAGACTGATGAGCTTTGTAAAAATCGACGCGTTTCAGAAAGGCGGGGCATAGAGGAGCAACAATAATGTACATTATGTGGAAAATAATGTGGTTTTTTAACCTTAAACCACATAAACACATTGCATTACACCAAATACACAAAATAATGTTCTTTTTAGCAACGTCATACGACCCCTTTAAATTAAATAATTTAATAGCAACACTACAGTATTTTATTCCTTAAAGTCATAACAAACCACTAGTCAAAGACTGGAAAAGAGTGAAAGGACCAAACCGTGCGTAATAAAACAAACATGAAAAAGGATTTTCCTCAAAAGCATTCGTTTAATGGTAGTGGCTCTGCGATGATACATAATTCCCTTTCAGGACATACATACTGCATGAAACAAATGCTCATTTGAGGCACTGAAAGCAGAAAAGACATACAACTATGGCAAAAAGTTAAATGACCGCACAGCTCTGACACATCCCTACGATAACTAAACAAAGAAACGTCCGGGAATTTAGGCCTCGCTCTCGAACATCTTCTTCCTGCCGTCCATTCCGGCCTTGTCCTCGACGTTCTTACGCCAGTCACCCACATCTGCAACCTGGATTATGAGAGAGGGATTGGGTGTGAAGGAATGGTAATCAAATGAAACATACTTACACATTCACAAGCATATTATTTTGACATCTATTTGTTGCTATTCTAAAAAGTAATATATTCAGTGTTTCTGCAGATTTTATGAGGGTAAATTTAAGACTTTGTAAGACCAAGTAAAGAAAATTTTAAGGAATAAATTAAATGGAATCTGATGTGTCAGTATGGTCTCTAAATAAAAATACAACTTCCTACAGACCTCCATTACTTTTTAATTCATTTTACAAGAAATAAAAAAGTAGCTTATGTCTTGAATAGATCTGCTCCTAAAGGCTACAACATAGAAATAACTTTTACTGTATCACACGTCAAAAAAGTGATGTTCTTCCACAGTATTTTTGTCTTGTTTTCCAGTACAAATGTCTAAAGATTGTTAAATCAAGATACATTTACTGGAGAAGCAAAATCACAGATGATAAGAAGTCTGGTTTTATGAGAAACTGATCCAAATAAAGTGAGTTCACGATTAAAACAAGAACAAATAAATTCAACGGGATAACAAGTTTTCATTCTCCTTCGACAGACTTTTGTTCTTGCTTTAAGCATAAACTCGTTCCGTTTTGTTCAATTTCTCAGACTTAATATGTTCAGTTTGCATTGCAACTCAAGTAGATATTTGTATTGGAAAACAAAACAAAAATACTGTGGAAGACATTCATTTTTCCAATGACTTATTCTGCTCCAATTTAAGACCTTTTAAGGCCGTAATTTGTGGAAGGGCGAGTTAGTACTTTATAAGACCTGCAGAAACCCTGTGCATTACCCTGTGCAATTAAATATGAATGATATTATATATTAATCTTTTAAATGCATGTAAGCACACATATTAAAAAACAATTCATATTCAGTAATATTATCGATTTACCTGCACTGACACTATCCACCTCAATTCAGTTCAAATTTTGTTCATATCTAAGAATGACACTAATTTTTCAACACTGACACTGTTATTGAACTAAACTGAATCAATATTGATCTGAATAGTGACACTGTTATTTTCTGTAGAACTGCTTTACAGCTGAAATTGAGTTTGTTTCATAATTGATGAATTGTTTCGATTTATCAATGATGTTTTGAACAATGCTTATCCAATCAGACTTTATAGCTGTTACTATTCATATCTGTTCTGTACTATAAGAGTATAGGAATAGTCACAATGCCATGTTTCACCCACCTCCTCTTTGACCTCCTTCTTGACTTGTTTGAGGTTGGATCTCAGGTCCAGAGACACCTTGTGTTTGGAGCCCAGCAGAGCCTGAAGCATCTGATCGGCAGAGAGACGCACTTTCTTTAGTGCAGGTTTCTTGAACTTGCCCTGCAGGTCGACCACCTTGATCTTCAGATCCTCAATCTAGAAACACATTAAACCGCAGTCAAAATGGAGCTCAGACAACCCAATACATAGACTCATCAGAAACATCATCACCAGCATAATAAGGTTTTTTTGAGTATCAGACATTACCTCTTTGCTGGCCTTGCCCACTTTGCCCTCCAAGTCATATCTCTCCTCATCAACCTGGTCGATTTGCAGGTGAAGTTTCTTGCACAGCTCCTAAGAAGCGATGTTTAAATAGTCAGCTACTATTTTTGAACAATGTTTTGCATCATATTGTTTCAAGAGTGTGCGATACAATCGATCACCTGCACATACGTCACTGAGACATCTGAAACATCTGGAATGCACTAATAAACATCTCAAGAGCATATCTGTTCATCATCACAACTAGCAATGTCAAGAAAAAAACATTTTAGCAAAATCGAATGTGTACTTTGGTGCGCCGTGTTAATACCTGCATCAGTGTTGTATTAGTTTATATTTTCTATAGAGCGTTCAAAATACAGAACTATTGAAATAGGTATATCGTTTCCGAAACGCGCTGTATGCCGTAGACCAATGACAACAGACTAGGCCATGATTTTTGACCTTGCATGCATGCAATCCTATTGTAGGAGACTCCCAAAACAATATTAGGAACCGTAAAAATGGCATAATAGGGGCACTTTAATCTAAATGAAAATTAGAAATGCTGCATTGGCAACTAGCTGAAATAAAAAAAAAATTTTGGGTAACAATAAAAAAGGGCTTATTAGTTAATGTTACTTAAAAATGAACTAGCATTAACTAACAATAAGCAATACATTTGTTACATTTCTTTATTTATTAATCTTCGTTAAATGTTAATAAAAAACTGCTCATTGTTAGTTCATTTTAGCTCAGGTCCATTAAATTATATTAACAGATACAACATTTGATTTGATGTTTTTTTAACTTTAAACCGCATAAACACATTTCATTACACCAAATACACAAAATAATGTTCTTTTTAGCAGCATCATATGACCCCTTTAAAATGTTGAAATTAGCATTAACTGAGATTAATAAATGCTTGAAAAGTATGAAAATTAAAAGTATTCTTCTTTGTTAGTTCATGTTTACTAATGTAGTTAACACATTTTAACAAATGGAACATGTATGTATGTATATATACATATGAAGAGTTTATTTGCAAAAACAGATCCGTTTTTTTTTATTTTCAAAAGAATCATGTTTTTTTATTATGTAATCATGTTTTTATTGCGTTTTATTTTGTTAGTTAGCTGTAATTTTTAGTTATTTTTTAACCTAACCAAAATAACCCAACTAAAGTTTGATTGAGATTAATTGGAATGCACAATGAAAAAACATGATTTCTGAGAATTGTTAAAAACGGATTTATCTGTTTTTGCAAATGAACTCTTCATATGATTATGGTAATGCTGTAACATATTGAGAATAATTGAAAATAATCAAACAAAAATTCCATCTTGCTGATGAAAATGTAAAC